GGGGGGCTGGAGCCTATCCCAGCTGTCATAGGGCGAGAGGCAGGGTACACCCTGGACAGGTCGCCAGTCTGTCACAGGGCTAACACACAGGGACAGACAACCATTCGCACTCACATTCACTCCCGCATTCACACCTATGGGCAATTTAGTCTTAGACTCTGAAACAATAAGAAGAAAATCTAGTTCAGGTTGCCGACAATCACAATTAAATTTAATAATAACAGTTTAAAGCTTCAGTTGGCAGAAATCTAGTAGTAAGTGTGTACACACAAATTATATCCAGTAGACACATTTAACTTAATGTGTTTCTATCCTGACAGAATAAACTAGAAGTGACGTACTAAGAAAGATAGATAAATAGGATGGCTAGTGTATCAGTTCCTCACAACACACTGACCGTGTCCAGTGCCACTGTTGTCCACGTCTCCAACACACAGGCATCCCTGGTCAAACTCCTCCCCTTCGCCAAGTGTTGCTGACCACCAATCACGTGCCTTGAACAGAGACATGCTGCCTCTATTTGACCAGAGAGGAACACAGAAGAAGTGAAGGATTAGATGCTGTGAACAAAAAAAATAACCACAAAATGTCCAGTTAATGACTTTCTCTGTATAACTGAATAACTATAGGTACAAAAGCATTTAAGATAGAAAGATGAGCAAAGAGACAGAGCAGAGTATGCACCTACAAGGCATTAACTTTTCACAGCATTAACTCCTGTTCACTGAGCAGCTCTAGGTAGAACAACAGAAATGTTAAAAGCATCACCACAGCAAGTATAAAGAAGGGTTAAGGACTACTTATTCACAAAATCAATCCACCATCTATTTGCCTTCATAAATGGCTTGCCTTGAGCCATTTGCATAGTGACAGCTTGACCCACTACCCCAGGAAGCCCTAGTGCTCTGAACATAACACTTACAACTACAGCCAATGGCAGAGAAGGGAGCCAGTCACGTGACCTCAGGATTGCGTGTGAGCATAGAGGGGGGAATAAGGAGGTGTATAGTTGGGGGCAAGCAGCTTTTCTACTTGCTAAGTGCTGAGCAGGTGGAAAGGACAGATAATCCATACAAAGAGAATCCGACCTATTCAGAGTGCACTGCCATGCAGGAAGGAATACATTGCAGAGTCATTGCATAAAAAGCAAGGTTTAAAAGGTTAAGAATCTGATCAGTATTACTCTATGATCAGAATAACTTACAGTATCATCCTGTGACTATTTGCATGGCTTTGTGCTAATTTAATGGTTTTGCTTGGGGCAGTCTATTGCTCATCAATGTCTCCAGCTTACATCAATTAGCTTTAAATATATTTTGACGTTCCTTAAGTAATGTTTTCAGAATAGATGAGTTACTTTTTAAAAATAAAAACCGAGAAACGTTAAACCCTTTGTTAGGCAATTGTGGGGTTTTTTGTTTTTGTGAATGAGACTTTAAATTATGTGCATATATCAGACAAATAAAAGTGGAATGGGAAACATAATTTTAGCCCATCATTTTCAATGGTTTGTTTCCCTAATTTCGGACTTAGTTCCACGTATTTTGGAGTCTTAAATGTGTGCACAATGCCTATAAATATAAAGAGAAAATAGGATCTTTCTCGAGTTAAATGCTACAGTAGAGAGTCAGTCCAACACTCAAAGAATAGAAAGAAAAAAGAAATCAAGAAGTAAATTTATTGTTCTAGTCGTCGGCTGATATTAAACTTTGAAAGCTCTTGGATTTTAGACTTTTGTAATAGCTATTCAATTGTAGATTTATTTCTTCACACCCATAAGGACTCTTGTTTGGGCAACAACACTCTCCATATTTGTACGTTAAAAACAGTAAAGTTAGTGACACAAATTCAAGAACGGTTTTAAGTCGTTGTGAACCTGCACAGGTGAATTACCCTGCAATTACACTCAAGCCGGCTGAATTAACTGTAGCTTAGCCGGCTAATTAGCTAGCCCTTCAAGTTCCCTAGTTACACGCTAGCAGATCAGAAACAGGGTCGCTGCTGTTTTCACGGTTTCTCATTTGATAACAAAACGCCTTTGTTATTGTTCCGGTTACCTCTTACCTTCACAGGAATGACCTAATCCGGAAAATGTCGAAGATTCGTTACTTCTCGGTCACACAAACATCACATTTCTCACCCTCTTGCTTGCAGCCATCGTCCTGTTGTCATGGCACTGACGCTTAGCAGAGAAGCCGGGGGTTAGTGCGCATGAACGGAAATACAAGGGGGTGGTGTTTGGGAAAACGTCTTCGGGCAACTCCATGGGGAGTGTTTTTTTAAAGCATTATTTCTTTTAACTCTGTTTAATCACTCTGTATATTGAATCACAAATCAAATGTGAAAAAACCTTTAAACTTCATTAAATTTGGACAAAAGCAATGTTTTTAAAACTTTTAGATAGTTTTTTAGATGGTGATTATTCTTCTGCCACCATCTCCGTGGCTGTGGCATCTGTCACAGATTTAAATCAGAATTCTAATGGTGCTGTTCCTATCATTATTGATATTTTTCATTATTTCGTTTTAATAATTATTTCCTTTTAATAATAATAATTTTATATATATATATATAATGTGTTGTTTATTTTATTTATTTTATTTTCATTTGTATATTGATAGAGATAAAACCTGTAAATTTTATGACAGTGACATATGTGCAGTAGGTAGGGTATTTAGTTTGTTAACCAAGGAACTGTTGTAGAGTGCACTTAAACCATTAATGTATCTCGGGAGATTCATTACACTTTCTAAATGTGGGAGCTTAGAAGTAGGATTCGCTTAAAAAGGTAGGGCTCGCCCGGGATTTGAACCCGGGACCTCTCGCACCCTAAGCGAGAATCATACCCCTAGACCAACGAGCCATATAGTCGTACATCAGCCTAGCCGATTGTGACGCACACGTGTTATCATTGCTCTTATTTGATTTGCATATTCAATGTGACCAAAATGATTCTGTACATCTGCACGTCGCGTTTTCAGTGGGAGAAACGTTTCGTCACTTATCCAAGTGACTTTTTTTCATCTTTATGTCAGCATAAGCAAGTATTGCAAGTACTGTATATCAGTACATATCTTTATTTTCTTTATCGACATATATCACATAATAACATTGCAGGAAAAGCATTGTAATGGTTTGCATTTGGCTATCCATTGACTCAGTCTGACAGAGTAGTAATTCTGTATTGACCCACTAAAGGAAAATTAAATATGATTCCAGATGTCCACTATTTGTACTTTATAGTTTATGCCCGTTCAAATACAACAAAAATTAGTTTCTAACAAAATATGAGCTCGTCCGGGATTTGAACCCGGGACCTCTCGCACCCTAAGCGAGAATCATACCCCTAGACCAACGAGCCACGACTCCTTTATGTGAACACAACAATTTCTGGGATTCAAAGATGCCACGTTGATAAACTTTAAATTGCATCCCACAGTTAATCCACTCCTTGTCCACTGCCGCCATCTGCAGGACGTCTTGTGATACACCGGCTAAATCATGAAGTCCTTCTGATGTGCAATTGTCAAAATGAATAGTCCATATTCTTAAACATTCTCTTTGTGTGCAAATTACATATGGTGCAATATCATTCACAAAAATAGGTAGTGTGCACACATCACTTCAAAGACCACTAAACATATTTGTAGAAATGCAGTTACCATTTTTTTTTAGAAACTTCAGATTTTCTTTCTTTCTTTTTGGAAACTCTGTTAGTAGGCTTAAATTAGAAATCCAGTGGCATACTGTGCTTTCTTCCCAGTATAAAGTAATTCTATAGTTGCCTGAGTGATACATGTTTGTCAATCTTGACCTTTACAATTTCCTGCTGACTTTACTGAATTATAATTATTCAAGTAATTGTAATTATTCAAGAATGTTCTGTTTTATACAAGGCCATATTATATTTATTAGTAAATTTGCCATTTTTTGATAACTCTGATTACAAACAGGTGAATACAACATTTATACGCAATAGCCACATCCCAATGTATCTGTTTGAACTAACTGATGGATCACAACACTTCTTCACAATTATGCAAATGTCCCATCATTTAAAGCATAGTCTAGTAAACCATAGCGAATATTTAAGAGAAACACTTGTCCTACATTACATGATCCACATTAAAATCCCAATGAACCCAAAGCTTTCAGTTAAGTTAATCCAGTCTGCTGTCCACGCACGGCCTGACAACAATGACTTTATTATGTTTTCTTTTCACACCATAAAATAAAGCCTTTCCGCTTATAAAAATAAAACACACCAGTCTAAACTTCTGAAAATATCTCCAAATGCAGTAAAATAATATACATTTTGATACAATGCCCACATTTACAGTATGCCAGTATTCTATATTTTAGTGATATATCTTTTTAAGTGTCCCGTGTCTTTAACATAAACTGAACAATAACAAAAGGCAACATGCAGGTGATAGCAGCACATTTAAACCACAAACAAATTCAACATTCTACACAACACGTTGAGACGTTTTAGTTCTGAACCTCCCAAAACATAAAGATGAATATTTTAGAGGTAGTGCTCATTGAGAATGTAAAGGTGATAAAACACATTACATTTAACAGGTCTTATGCTGGGTTTTTGTGGGCCATAGACAGCAGGTGACTTCTTTCTTTACTGAAACTGTGAAATAAACTATATTTCTTCATAAATAATGTAATATTTATTTCAATAGAGAAGCTTAAGGTGCCATATTTTTGGGAATTATTATGGCTTTTTAGTTCCCGGTAAACCCGGTAATGACAACTACAGGTATACTTCAGCATTAGTTAATACTTCTGTAACCTTTATCTCTGGCACAGAGAATACTTGAGTAAGAGATCCGTGTAAGCTATCTCCTTAATCAAAAATGGCATTTGCCATAAATGTTTCAGTTGTAGCATTACAACAGGTGGAAATAAGTATGAATGAGCACATTTGGATAAAAATTGAACGCATGTAAACATGGCCTTAGAACCTGTTCCAACATCCATAAATCAAAACGGTGCCACCTCTGCACATCTACAGGAGACTTGATTTCCCCATACATAGAATTTAAAGTGCTTTTCATCTAATTTCTCATCATCACATGAGTTTCATGTTGACACCCCAAATCTCTCTTCTTTATCTAAAAGAAAAACCAACAAAAAAACAAAAACCCAATACTGGCTGCTGATGCTTCTGTAACCAAGCAAGAGATTGAAAAAATGGTATTACTGATAAAAAGGTCCGTTAATAAATGTTCTTAATTACTTTCCCAACCTTTAAGCTTTACCTGTACAGATATGTGGCATGTCTAACAACAACAGCTTACGTTGCAAGACTGGCTAGAATGACATCTTACTGCCAAGTTGCAAAAGTAGAGTAAATGAGGTGACAGGGATGCTGGGATAGCTCAAAAAAAAAAAAAGAAGAAAAACCAAACTGTTTCATCCATCTGTGGGCACCTCATACATGGTATTGAAACATCACCATAATAAAAATACTCCTAGAAAAAGCTATGATAACAATACTGTGCAAATATTCAGATGTTATTATTTCATAAAAATATATATAGAGAAAAAAAAAACATCAGAAACAACTGCAACAGACAAAACACACCAGAGACAGTCTGTTGATGCTGAGTGGACTTCATTTACAAGATGTGAAATGTCTTTTTTAAAAGCCTGTCAAAGGGTGATGTGCTGAGACAGAGAGTGGAGCTGGTTAAAAAGGGCGTCAAGCCTAACTGGCTCCAGATTGAAGGGGGGACAGAGAGGTGGACTGGGTGTGGTGTGGGTTTGCGGTCAGCTCAGAGGTGGACTTAAAGAATCTTCTGGAGGATGGCATTTGGGACTTCCAATGTCTCGTCCTTCACCAGAACTATGTCATAAGAGTCCAGATATTTGTCAAGTCGCTCTTCCACCTGCACAGAGAAAAGGTCAGGAGACAGTTCATCTAATCAATCTTCAAGCAGCCACAGCACCTGCCTTCAGGGAAAGTGAGCCTGACTAAGCAGTCTAAAAACCATGTTTCCAATTTTTGGGGGTAAGCTCTTAAGTATTCTGTGATTTGCATTAAGACATTATTTATCCTCAAATCTGAAAAATGGCATGGACTTAGAACTGTTAGGGGTTTTTTTTAAGGAGAAAAGGGATCTTGGGTTAATTTCACTCTAATAATCTCTGGGTAATAATCTCTCAGTAAATAAATTAATAAAATTCAAAAGACAAATATTTGCTGACAGTGTGCAATATTACAAAGTATAAGGGCTAGATGGCAGAAAGCCTTCAACATGGCATTTCCATAACCCCAGACAATGAGACACTGCTATTCTATTATTCCCTTACTGACTTCGAGTAGATGTAACATTGATAACACAGCCAACTCAATGTTCAGGGACATTTTTACTATGCTTAAGGATCTGTCTATGCATGTCATGGTTGTACCTTGTCATTGAGGAAGCCAATCTTTAAGACGTTCTCCGCATTGGTCACACCATCAGCCATGCTTAGGTCCCCCAGTGAGTCGCCCAGCAAGATGATGTTGGAGTACTCTTTGATTTGTTTGAAGTACTCTGAGTTCCGCAGGGCACCGTCGTGTTTGTTGTACACATGGATCAGCTCACCTTTAAATCCCTTCAAGATGCCCTGCGAAACAAGGAGACAATAAAAAAGTCCATTCAGTTTTATTTCCATAGCGCCAAATCTCAACAACGGTCACCTCAAAGTGCTTTATATAGTAAAGTAAAGACTCTACAATAATACAGAAAAACAATATTCAGACAAGCCCAGACAAGTGGAAAGAAAAACTCCCTTTTAACAGGAAGAAACATCCAGCAGAGCTTGTTCAGCCAATGTGCTTCTATTTCTCTACAGATTAACTGTAAACACCAGAATTAAGACTCAAAAATGACAACTTTGTCTTTCATTAAACACTCACATTTTCATCAAAGTCCATGAAGTTGGAGACGACCTTGACGTTGGGGTGATACACTCCTGCCTGGCGCATGATTTCCTCTAGGACATCTCCTAGGCCAGCAGAGAAAATGAACACAGGCACATTGTGCTGATGCAGGCGGTCAAAGAACTGCTCAAAGCCATCTCTGAAACCAAACACAGGCACAGTTTATCCTTTACACTGTGCTCAAACAGGATTCACACGTGTAATTCAGTTTCCTCCACATCTTCCTCTACAGTTACCTGAGGGCAACATCAGACTCTCTGACCACCTCTGGCAGCTTGTCCCTCTCTAACCGCTGCTCCACAAGCAGTCGGTGAGAATTGAAATACCTGTAAACATGCAAAAACAATCTTTTACTTTTAGAAAGATACACCTCACAACTTAAGCAACACACAGCAGTAAAGTAATCGAGTGAATTTGTACAGTGCGCTGGTGTGTGCAAGACTCACCACTCCACCATAAACGGGTATTTCTCCTCCATGGTGAGTTGAGGGTCGATCTCAATGGGATAATATTTATTCTTCAGCGCTAGCAGCTTACCCCTGCACTCTTCTGTTACCAGTTTGCAGTTATCAATGATATCTGTGCAGAGTAAACAGAGCGTATGATTCACACAGGGGAACTGCGATTTATGTTTACATTTCTTACACTGTAAAGTGCTGCATAATAAAAAGAAATGTCTGTTTTTGTGTTTTACTTACTGTGACACGTTGGACAACGCTTGCCGTTAACTGAGAATTTGCTTAACGTCATGTCAAAGTCTGTGATGATCTGAAACAGTGAAGAACACTTTGTTTACCAGAACCATAAAAGACCCTGAATCAGACACAAAAAGAAACAAAGGCCCTCAAAAGGAATGCCCTGGAGGTGATAACGGCCAACTGAAATCTTTTTTAGTTTAGGTGGTGTAAGACAATTAGGGAACCCAATAGCTAAACCTGTGACAAAGTCAATTTGGGCTAATGCCATTTTTCTGGAATACCTGAGTCAAGACTTCCTGTTCTCTGTGAAAGTTATGTTTACAAATGATACATTTCAAAAATAATAAAAAAGTTTTACTAAATTTTAACCTGTCAATAACCAAAGGTTAGATATTTGTCTCAACCTGGACTATTTTACCTGTATTCACAACTAAAGCCCAGTGAAACCTGCTGGGCAAGTAAAACACAAGCTAACTGGTGATAATTGGAAAAATATTTTTCCATTTGCTGCAGCCTTACAAGCTTCTTCACCACCAGGTGGTGGTGTTTTACCAAAAGACACACAGACAGGTTTAGTATAATGACAAACTGATGTTTTACCTGCAGTTTGGAAGCTCCTCCTTTGATGAGACCGCAAATGATGTCCTCCACCTTCCCATGGTCCTTCATGTGGACCGTGGTTTTCTCAAATTGAGGCATCTGGAGGGACAAAGAAGAGGAGAGACACGTTAGTGTGGGCTGACTTTTAAAAATTCCTTTAGTGTCGATTTGGGAAAACGTTAATTTACCAACATAACCGTTTCAATTCTCAGATTCTTCAGCTTTAGAGATTTTTGAAAGGCTCTGGTTCTAATAAAAGCACCTCCGAGTAAACGTATCTGGTTAGACCTGCCTCCTCTTTTGGGTATAGAGAGAAGAATGAGGACACTGCAGAGAAGTTTGTGTGTTGAGAACTTTGGGTTTATTTTAACTGAAATTAATTACATTTGAAGCGTATGTGTCAAAGAGAGTGCCAAAGGAAATGGAGACATGTGCTGTCTTGAATGCACCTTCTACATGCACACGATACTCAAACTGAACTACAGTCGCTGGCATTTTTATGCATCAACACCTCGAGCATATCTGAACACAGTGTTCCCTGATCCACATGCAGAGTTTGCGGGTCATGAAACAGCTGATGTGTGGAATCTGTCAGTGTTGTATAACGAACTGAAAGACACACAAACAGCTACAGTGACTCTCTGCAGAGAGGGGGTGAACTTCAACCTTTCTTGCAACTTAATCACATCGCCATGAGATCTGCCTAGTCAGACAAGACTGTCCTCAAAGCACCTCACCACCTCATAACTTTTCTTTGTGAGTTTTCATTCCAAAGTACTGGTAATAATAAGCTGATAAGAATTTGCTGACATTTCTAAATGTCACACACAGCAGGACAGCTCAGATCAGTTTGTGTACATTAGAGCTACAATATACCAGACAACCTTAGAATTTGGCTGAATCAAGGGGAAAAGAAATACTTTGCAAAGAAGTTGAGCATTCAGTTATAAATATAAAGATGTTTTGATCACTTTTTACAAGTTAGCAACAATGTGGCTGGTGGTGTGTTTTCCTTGCGAGTCTGAGTTTGTGTGTGGGTCATGTCAATTTGCGGTCCCTGTGACATCTACTGTAGCAGGAAGTACCATAAAAGTGGTTATGAGTAGTCTGGCAGATGTTTATACGTCTGTTTCCGGATTTCTGTGGGGAGCTTTGTCAACACAGTAACACTGCAACTGAGCAGGAGCCAGCAATGAAACCTTAGAGGAGTGCAGTTGAGATAAAATATAGGTCGTCATGATGCTTGTCATTTTTCTTGGTAATCTGTATCCATAACATGAACTGGCATGGCATTAGTTCAAGTGTTGTGTTGGGAGGAGCTAGTGTCAGACCAGCATAATCAACATGCTGATTTATAATTTATACCTTATTCCGGGGAAAAGTCACCAAGTAAAGTTTATTTTGTTTTTTAATTTATATATAAATCAAATGATTGATTAATGAATCTCTACATGCATTTTCTCCCGTGTATCCATCTCATCATCCATTTAGAACGAGGGCTTTATCTTGTCAGCCCAAATTAACTGCTCAAAGGTATTACCAAGATGGGTGCTAAGTGGCAAGATGCTCTTGGGCACGCTCTAAGATATTCAGTGGGTTGAACTATATCTAACATACTGAATAAATGACATATTGCATGTCTCCTCACACTCCAGACGTTGAGGTACGAGGCAGTTTTTTCTTGAGTATAAACATGTTCCTACTAGTGCATGGTCACTAATAAGTATTTGCATATAAATGTTCGATTCCTCACATTCCAAACCCAACTGTATCTTTATACAGTCCAAATCATGGAGTAATTTTAATGCTTACAGTTTAAGAAATTATACAGGACAGGAAGGTTGAACGAATAATAAAGGAGATTTAAAACAAACAAAAACAACCACTAACAAAAGAAGCAACAGGAAAATGCATCACTTTAATAATTTTAGGGTTTTTCAGAGACTTAGTTTAAACACAGCCTGGGCCTCCACTGTGAATGCAGCTTTCACTGAAAATATATATAATTTAGTGTTTCATAGACCAACTAATAACAGACATAGTCCTGCAATTAGTCTCTAGTGGAGGACAGTCTTAAAGGTTGTTGGAAAGATGACCTCATGTGTTTGAGGGAATGAGTGTATTTGTGTAGAGATGTTAAATGACCTTGTTGTGCAACAATTCAGCTTGAATAACACCACACCCGTTATTTCATAAGTAAAGAATAGTTACATTAAACCAATGATACGTGATCATCCATTTTTGTTTTTGCTCATTTGTGTTTTTGTGATGTCTCTTGTGCAGCACAGTTATGTGTTTGGGTCTCAACCAAACAAACAACCAGAGAAGGAAGAAGAACCAACTAAATGCACACAGACAACAGTTTCACCATTTCACAAACACCCCCACCCAACATAATTTACACTTACAGTAGAATTTGACTCGTTACCACTTCATAAATTACTCTGAATCTATAAACACAACATTATGAACACAAAAACATTAAGAAGCTAAAATTGACCTTGTCTCATGTATTAACTACCCTAAAAAAGGCCTCATCCAGGAATCTAAGCATGGAAACAATTTATCTAATCCCACATCTGTTGAGTGACGACTATATTCTGGGTCACTGTTAAAAGGATAAGATTACATTTGTTTAAAAGAGATTTAATAGGCTGCCAGAGGGGTGACCTACTAAAAAGCACTCAAACTATGAAATGGCAGTTTATGGGTATGTTTCCTTGATGGCAGTGACATCTAAACCTGTTTATTATGAAACGCTGCTTCACAGCTTACATGTTATGTGTCTAAGACTACTTAACGGTCATGATCTTCTTAGCAACAGCTGATTACAACATTACAAATCAAGTTTAGGAAATGTCACAATTTCAGAATTGAAGCCAACGTTTTAAACATCAAAACTTCTAAATGCTTAGATTTTTTTTTTTTTCGTGAACATTGACAGCAAGAATTTGTTGCACAAGAATTTGTTGCACTTAATGAATTTTTGCAATGAATGTGTAATAAAACTGCATGCAGCCTGGAGTACAACCATTTGAAACAAACACCCCTCCCTCCCTTCCTCCCTCCTACACACACACACACATAAACTTACCTCCAGTTTGGCGTCTCAGCTAAAACGACAGTGAAGAAAAGATTGTGTGTCTGCAGAGTCCTTATATATCTACAGCAACAGCAAGGGAGGGAGGGGTTCTTGCTCAAAATAGATTAGAAAACATAGGCCCTCCCCCTATACAGAAGGGCTCGAACACTAGAATACAGTGTCCCTGTCAACACACACAAACACACAAAAAAAACCTCATATAAACAGCTGTGAAATTGAGCCGGGGGAGGAAAAGGGCATTGGTAATTTACCCTTGTTCCACTGATGTGACCTTTGACCCCCTTTTTAAAAAGGAAACCTTTAAAATCAATGAGAATGGGTTGATGACTGCTGCTGAGCACACACATTTTTAAACACACAGCATACGGCCCTCCACGTGGAAACACACAAATGCAAAATGCTTGACGATGCATTAAAAGTCACAGGGGTCAACGTTCAGTGTGAGCATCGAGCTGCTTGGGCGTTCAGTGGTCAGTCACACATGAAAGATCAACTAATAGACGACTCAATGCAAGTTAACACATATATACATATTTTACGTATCTCTTGCTCATCTTTCTGGAAATTCTCATATATATATATATAGATCATGCAGATCTACACACATGTAGAAACATGCAAACTACACTGTCTTTACATTTCTGGATGCGTCTGAACACATCCAACTTTCTTTTTGAAATGTATGCACACAAACTGGTACTCCAGCTGAGCAAGTTCTTGCATTAAAGTCAACTCCTAGATAACTTCTCATATCAGTATGCAATCATGCAACTGATATGCAATTTATTTCATCAATAAAATGTCTGTTCAATGCAGCTATCAGTAAAAGTCCATCACTGGCCCTGGTATTCAGTTGAGAAACCTGCAGTTTGCGATGGATAACATTCAGAAACCTGGTCAGCTGTCACATGTTTGTCATATTTTTGTCAACAACTCCAAGTTAAGAAGCTAAGAAGCAAAGAAACTAATGCTAAGTAATTCGATGACTATATAAAATTACAAATGAAAGTTAAGAGTTGAGACTTTAGAATTGAGCTTTAAAGGCAGTGTCATTTTAATTGTTTAAGGGCAACTGTTATTCTGAACTGGCGCTATATCAAAAAGAAAAATTGAATTGAATTTTCTGCCAGTTATCACATCTTGCGTGCACCAAGGTCACAAAGCATGGGAAAAAACAGCATTGGATTGGAGAAGGTATTATCACCATAGAGTCAGCATACATGAAACTCAATGACATATCTAAGTTTCCTTGAAGCTCATAATCTGGAGGGACCTTAAGTCTGTTTACAGCTTTCATGAAGTGGGTGCAGCCTCTAAGAACTCTATTATCAGCATTTCAGAAAACATAAAAGGGAATGTTGCATAACAACATTTGGACCTTTGTGCCACACTGACACGATACCACAGGCTTGATTTTCGCTGAACAAGGCTTGGTTCCCTGCTGTCTGTGCTGCTGGTGTTGTTGCTATAAAATGGGAGAGACTGGATCGTGAGATGACCTCGTCTTCTTTTCTGATCACCTCGACTCCCTCGCATACCACAACACCCAAAAATTAGGTCAACTATCTCCGGTTACATTTTACCCCTATAACAGGTCCCTGCAGCACAAGCATGAGCCTCACAGAGACACAGCACCAACAGCTGCCTCACGGCTTTATAAGAAAAGGCCCAGGGACTGTGTAGTTGGTGTTGGTGTAGTTGCGTGGCAGGATAATACTGTTTCTGTTCTAACACATTTTGATTTAACTCTGCCTTCGCGTATTTTGGTTGCACAAACCAAGTGACAAAAAGCCAGTGGAAATTGGTGCCATTACCTTTAGTTTGAAATGTGCAATTTCACACTTTCCAAAATGCAAACCTTCAACTAACATCCATCCTTGCACCATCAAGCCCCTTCTAATCAGATTCACAGCTCCAGGGGATAAAACAATGGCAGGCTCTGATATTTTTAGGCATACACTGGGATTATTGTCTTATCCATACAGATCATATGATA